CAGTATCTTCAGTGTGTCTTGATTTAGTAGATTGGCATATGTCATGTTGATGAAGCCTGTCCTTCACAAGTGTCCCTGTGGTAAACGAGCAAATGTTCTAGTTTCTAAGCTCTCCTCGGCTATTCAAGAATGCAGGGAAAAGCACGTGAATGCACACTTCAGAAGCTATACGTGGTGCCTGCTAACTTCTGTATTTTGTACTGCCAAAGAAACACCCCCACCACCATTTTCTAGTCCAGGTCTTCTCTCAAGCAAGTCTCACATTTACAGCTCTGTTTCAAACTTCTCAAACTTTGTCCTCATAGTTTGATATTTCACACTTATACATTTGTTTCTGTTGTATTAACAAAGTATTTTAAAATTGTAATGCTTGTTCAGCAGTTTTCCAATTACTTATCAAAAGAAACTGTACATTTTAGGAAGTACTGGTGGGAGATCTTTCTTTGAGACTCTTATGGGTTATTCTGTCTAAAAAATTAGACTGCTCTTTAGGTGAGGCCAACTTGCACTCTTAGCTCTGTAGGGAGCTCTTCCAAAAATGTCATCTTTAGGCTGGGTTCTTACCTTATTACCCTGTTTTATTGACAGATCCAAAGTGCAATGTTAGGCTCTGTATAAGGTAGGCTTTCACCAAGATGGAAAGTACCCATCTCAACAGCCAGTTTAGGGCCATTCCTGTTCTGTCTTGGCTGTCATTGTGACATTGTGTTCCTCTGGGCTCTGGGCAGAGGCTTGTGAATTTGTAGTCTTTCTGCTCCTCCTTTTGCTTCATTATTTAAACTTCTGATGCAAAGCAGAACTGAAAAGTTGTGTGATCTGTTTTATTAGGAGATATGCCAGTTTATTCTTTCTCTTGATCCTAAAGTCATTTTGCCTCTGTGATCTGGCTTTTATTTCAGTATCCAAATAGCTGCAAGCATAGCAGCTCTGTTTCAAAAGTTCTTGTCCTGTCCACTTCCTTGAGCAGTTCTTTGCCTAAAGCTGCACATCTTCAAGCGCTTTGAGAGATCATTATGTGGATTCAGAGCATGCCTCATTTAGGTCAATGATAGAGGATCTTCTCTCTGCCCATGCTCTCCTTCCCTCTCGTCTCTCTTTGCTTTTTCTAACACAAGTGGCAAATGTAATAATTACTGCAATGACTTTGTGAACAGTCATTAAACAACCATAACTGTTGTATCCTGTGATTTTTCTGTCACCTTGTTGTAAATAGTGGGTCACTAGAGTGCTTTTTACGATGACATATGTAGAAACATATGACATGAATATAAAGGTGCCATTCATCATGACATACTGATGAAAAGTGCCCCAACAGTGGTAAAAGTTTAGTTCTGTAGCACTTATCTGTATAATGACTTTCTAAAATGAGGGGTTTTTCTTGAAAAACCGATTTTTCAGAACTTCGAAGGTATCACAGCTTTTTTATGCATACATAGATACATTATATAGGTGTAGGAAATGTAGAATTTTGGGTGATTTAATTCTTATTATCAAGGAAAGCTCTCCCTCCTTCCCCACCTTGGGGAGGTTTTCAAGTTAAACAGAGGAGGGGAATAATATTTTCTTAATTGTTAACTTAAATACAAAAGGGTAACAGCCCAATCAATAAGAAATTGGCAATAAGCATAACTTTGTCATTGGACTGTGTTAATTGGACTGTGTTAAGTAGTCGCATGACTACAGAAGTGCGGAGACCTTAGCTGTGCAATCTCATTGCAAAAACTTCCAATACAAGTATTTGAAGTCTTCTAGCTAATATACAGAAGGAAGAACAGTTTAAG